GTAAGATCAAACAAGCTGAAGCATCATGTCTACAATGCAGATAAAACAATGTTATGAATCAAGTTAGAACATTCTAGACATGTATGCAACATGGTGGTGAGATAGGAGTATAATGTTTACAGGCTGGGTGACTCCTGACCAGCAAATATCCCACCCCACAGGTCCCCATAGGTGAATGACAACCATAAAGCTCAGTAGCAAATAGCCCACTGTGTTCTCTGCAAGGAAGTAAAAAAAAAAGAGTATAAAATCAAGCTTGCTAAACAAGCAAGGCAATGTTTGGGCCAAAGTCAGCCAATACCCGTGACAGGCAAGACAAAGTCCCATAAGACTGCGTGGTTTTGTCAGTCCAGGAGTTTAAACACTGTGGGTGTGAAGTCAGGAAAACCGTGCAGCCTCTCTAGCTCACTCTGTGCACCTCTTCCGTCTGCTACCTGCTTAGGAACCTTAGGGCTTGCACCATGTAACCCTGGAGCAGCCCCAGTCACAGCCCGTCTCAAGTTCTGCTTTCTCCGCCTGAGGCGCATTCTCCGCAAGTCGGTAACCACAGGTTGCGCCAGAGGACAATGAGATGATTGCCCAGGTGGGGCAGGAGTGTGGTACCAGAGGTGTAACTTCTGCCGGAATGCTGCAAAAATGCTAGAACTCCCTGGCGATCACTGACAAACATGGCAGGCTGAGCCTGTCCCATTACTCTTTCACTAGCCCTTAGTTATCCCTTTCTCTGGCAGGCTCTGCCTGCAAACTTAGCCTTCTTTTTTCCTTTCCTGGTATCCTCTGCCTGTCCTATTACTGATTTTTTTTTTTTTTTTTTTTTTTGACAAACCCTGCCTGCTCACTGGGCCTTATTTTTCCCTTTTTTCTGGCATGCTCTACTTGCATGCTCTACTTCCTGCATGTTCTGCCTGTCCCATTACTGGTTTTTCCCCTTTCTCTTGCGCTGTCTGCACACTGTGCCTTATTTGTCCCTTTCCTGTTCCCCATGACTGTTTTTCCTTTATCACTGGTAGGCTCTGCCTACTACACACACTTTCACTTATGTTCTGATGAGCCTATGTTCCCGGCGGGCTCTGGTGTACTTATTTCCCTTTGTGTTGTGTTATTTGTTCCTCCCCCCTTCCTGATGGGTTAGGCCGTGTTATTACTGAGCCGCACACAAATTCTTGGCTATTGGTACTCATTGGTGGATTGCAGTGGCCATCTTGGATCTTGCATTTTGCAAGATCCCTGGCAGCCACATTGGGGTGGACCGCTCCTTCACACAGTGCCTGCCTGCATCACTGTTTCTGCTGGTGCTTGCTTCCGCAACACATATCCTAAAATTGGAACAATACAGAGAAGATTAGTATGGCCCCTGTGCGAGGGTGACATGCAAAATTTGTGAAGAATTCCACGGATACAAGAAGTTCATACCTTTTTACAATGAATTCTACCTGCATGGCTGTGGGGACAGAATATATGGTCAGTGTATTGACCCTGGAGGTTTTATTTGAGTTGTAGGTGCTACATGCCCTACTGGTTTATGGGGTGACCCCCCCCCCTTATAACCTACATGTAACTGTGCTGTTGAAAGGATCCTGCTGTTGCTGCCTCCTACACTGGATGAGACCCAGTTATTTAACCACTTTTGATATACGGCTACATGTGGCACTACCTGCTCCGCTCCCGCCAGTTGGTCACTCCTTAGACGAAGACAATGAACTACCCCTGTCC